TCTACAAAAATTTGACAATTGGATCGTCTCCAACTTTTAGTATGTTGTTGTGAGTGTTTCTGGATTATGTAGAAACTTGCAATTTGATCTTGTTAAATCTTCACAATTTGGTCCAACTGTCTCGCACATCTTTAACTATCTATAAATCAAGGATCCAACTAAAAGTACATGAGCTAGAAGTCACAAAATACATCCTCCAAACAACTAAAAGTAATTAGCATCAAAAAATGGCAATCAAGACTGCTTCTCCCAACACATAACCTTCAATTGCCTCCAACCTTTTCCTTCATCACCCACAACAAACCTGAAAATCAACCATTAATAATACAAAACAAAAATATAGACAAAATAATAAAATCTTGCAAAAATTGACGATAATTTAAACAAAAAAAACATGTCCTAGACTTTGACAACAAAAATATACACATGCACATGCACATGCACATTCACATACCTTGTGACCAAGGTGCAATTCATCATCCAAAGCATAAAGCTTGAAGTCGAACAGAGCCGGCCCTAACTTTTCAGTGGCTTAGGGCCAAAAAATAAGATGAGGCCCTTAATTCGCATTTGTATGTAATCATAGTTTAACAAGAAAAAAAATGCACACATGCATGTATTTTCTTTTTGGGATAAATATAATAGTTTATTTCAACTAAAATAACAAATGCAAACCATCATCATGTTAACTTTCTCATTATTTTATTTCCTTCTTTAAAAGACATTTTGTTGTTTTAAAACTTTTAAATTTTTAGTTATAATATGTTTGTAACACTTTAGGGTTAACTAAATAAAATATCATATGAGAGCATACTAAAACTAGCCTCTCAGTCTTTTTCAAATAATGCTGCTATGTACATCTTACAATTTTTTTTTCTTCTTGCAATTGTAAATCACTATGTATAAGAAAATATTACCCTAAATATTTACTTTAGGGTTAATTGATGATTTTGCCCCCTAAACTTATACCTAGCTTTCGATTCATCCATATCCTTTTTTTTCTAGAAAATTAAGGATATGAACTCTCTTTTTTTTGGCCAATTTCCCCCCTGCCGTCTAAATCCTCAACATTTCATTAAATTTTCAGTTAAATCATTTTTAAAAAAAATATTTCTTTTGAAAAAAATTGAAAAATACACTGAACCAAACCTATCGCCAACCCCCCTCCCCCAGCTCTATCTCCTCCAGTAACCCCATCAACCCTAAGAAAAGAAAATTATTATTTTGTGATGTGGGGAGGCTTAGGTTTCTTCATCTAGATCTAGAGTCCCACACACTTTGAAGGTAGAAGAATGTTTTGATGTCGGTATTTGCGTCTTTTTTTTTCTTTTCAAACATAGTATTGTTGTATCAAACAATAGGGCTTGAATATATGCTTGTTTGGTGTCTTGCCCCCCAAGCGCATACCCATCCCATGCCCCAGCCCTTGCCTCTGTGAGATCCACCTCTAGACCCAGACTCATCCCTCCCCTCCTTCTGGGCAGTAGCAACAGACTCATCCCACCCATAAAATCCGGCCCACAACCCATCGAGAGAGAGAAAGAGAGAGAGAGAGAGTTTTCAGTTTTTTATTTTATGAGAGACTATTATTTCAAAGTATTGTTTTGTATTTTATATTTTATTTATTATTTATTTTAACGTATAAAATGATTATTTTACTTTCATATTGAAAGGCAAATTGGATGAAATGTTGCGGATTTAGATGGCAGGGGGGAAATTGGCGAAAAAAAGTTCATATCCACAATTTTTTTTTTTTTAAAAAAAGGATATGAGGTAAATCGAAACTCAGGTACAAGTTCAAGTGGCAAATCTCCAATTAACTCTTTACTTTAATCAAGATTTAATTTTATGTACTGTTTGAACCCAACTTTCGTCTGGAATTCACTATACATTCTAAGTACATCTTACTCTTTATAGTAAATTTGGCTTAACCCTTCAAAGTCATTTTTCCTCAACTACAACCCATCTTTTTATTTTTTATTTTTTTATTTTTTGGAATAAAATCTTATTTTATTTTTTAAATAAAACCCAATGACTATGATCCAACTCTACAAGTTACCTAATCAAGCGCAAAATTGAATTTATTGAAATTTTTTTATTCCTAAAATACCCCTAACTAAGCCATTATTGCATTTGTATATTAACGTAGGAACCAATATAGAAACCATTTTTAATTGGATTGTAACTAATGACACACATTGAATTTGGAAAGATCTTCAAATAGATGTATGAATTAATTTGGAGTTTAAAAAAATTTAATAATAAAGTCAAACTTAACATACATAATTGGTTTATTTAATATAAAAAAGTTATTATTTTATAAATATAATAGCGTACATAAAATTTTATGTTGAAAAAATAAAGTTCCTATTACTTCTTTTATGAAAAATAATGTTGCCTAGTATGAATTTACTTATTATTCAAATAATATACCCAACTTTTATAAATTCATTTTGGATATAATTGACCGAATAATTTCCTGTTATACAATAATATAACTTCTAATTTATCAATTATGGGTATATTGTAGGTATATTAAAGCCATAACATTTTATAGGTATATTGTGAAAATAATTTATCTAGCCATATTGGATATATACAAGATATATAGGTAAATTTGTAGGTACATTATATTGTATTGATAATAATTTACCTATTATATTTTATTGATAATATTTTATTAGGACGAAAGTTGAGGGATTTTTTATTTTTCAAAAATTTAAGGATTTTCTTTATTGGTAGAAATTTTAGGGATTAGAGGGAATGTGCAAAAAAAGGGACTCATTGATATGTTATAAATGAGGAAGTATTAATTCAAAATGAGGGACTTAATGACATACTTGAAAATCGTCAGATTGACTTATATGAAGTTTGGTGGCAAACAATGTAAATATGTAGGAGTACTATGACCTTTTATATCTTACGAGGCATTTTAATTTGAATTTGGGTTTTATACATAGATTTCAAAATTAATGGGTTGATGTCTACAAAATAGAAATTGTAGGGGCCTATATTAGACCAACCCTATTTTATAACAAAGGGGGGTGTATTCAGTTTAGATTTTAAAAGAATTTAAAGAAGTTTAAAAGTTCAAGTGTATTCAATTACGATTTTATAGAAGTCTATACAATTCTGGGTGTATTCAATTCAGGCTTTTTAAACTCCATTCAAATTTGGATGTATTCAAATACGACTTTAAAAGACTTCATAAAAGGTTGGGTATATTCAAAAACTCATTGATTTTAAAGGAAATACAAAAAGTTCCTCTCTCCTCCCTGTCAAAACAGCAGCGGCGGGTTTTTCCCCCCCCCCCCCCCCCCCCCCGAGATTTTGATAGATATATTAATTTTTATTCTCATGATATGATTTCACCACTTCTACTAGCACCATCTTGTCATGGTTATCACCGTCGCCGCCACAGCCACCATCACCACCACTGACATCGTCGCCACCCCCAACACCACCACCTCCGCCGTCACCTCCACCATCACCCAGTGCCGCCACTACCATCACCATCATTGCGATTGCCGCCACCACCACCACCATTACCCCCACCTCCACCGCCACTACCACCCCTACTATTAGCCCCACCATCACCCCCGCGGTCACCACCACCACAGCCACTACCAGCATCATCACCATCACTACCACCGTTGCCACCGCCGCCACTCCCACCACCACCTCTACCCCTCCACCACCGCCACCACTACTACCACCCCCACATCCTCCACCACTACCTCCCCACCATCACCCACAAATCATCATCACCACCGCCACCGCCACCGCCCGTCGCTACCATCGTCATCACCTCTAAACCCTTTGTTTTTTGAGTAATATAAACTCCATTAAAATCAATAATAAAACTCTAACAAACTCAGTTAAAATCTATACATGAATTCAATCAAAATTTATGTGGAGTTTGTAGAATTCATTCAAACTCAATTAAATTCAATTAAACTTTGTCAACTTTACAACTCTTTTAAAATATAAATTGAATACACCGTCCTAAAACTCTCATCATTCCTAAAATAACATGTGTTCCAATTAATGAATGGTGGCATGGATTTCAAAATTGACTTTTTCTTAACCGCAACTCATCACTTTTTGTTCCTATTATTAAAAATCATTTTTTTACAGGTAAAACCCATAACTAGGATCCAATCCATCAAGTTTACCTTATCAAACTCAAAATCTGATTTATTATAATTTTTCAAATTCTCAAAATACCCCACATATTTACAATTGTTGCTTTCTCCATTGATTGTGCTAAATATCTTTGAACATGCAATTCAATTGTCATTAATATTCAAATGGGTTTCAAATTGGCTTGGCTTGTTGAGATTTCCTATTTCTAGTAGAATTGTGATTCCATAACGTGATATCAATTAAAATTAAAAGGCTGTGAGAGTTTTATCAACTCTCTTGCACTAGTATTTCCGTACATCGGCATATATATCGTATAAGAACAAGATTTTAGAAAATCGAAACACCACCAGTCTCTTCTTCTCATTGATCACAGAAAACTGCTTGTGGAGAGATGGACTCCACATCTTCGTCGAAACTCATCTCCATTCCTGAAGAAATTGTACATGAAATCCTCCTGAGGTTGCCGGCCAAATCTTTTAATCATGTGCACTGCGGTGTGCAAGCCATGGGGTAAAAGATGTAACTTCATTAATGCCCATCTCAGCCACCAATTATCATATTCCAATCCAACCACCAAATCGTCAATGGTTGTCAAGTTCTTCTGCTGGAAAATCACATAAAGTTTAACTTGTTGTCGTGTTATGGGGATATCCTTTCCCCTAACCCTATCCTTAACCCTGTTTTACCTGGTGGTGCTGCTGACTATATTATTGAGCTTATGAATCCGCCAATTTTGAACGAAAACACTGATTTTGACACTTCCGAACTAGTAACGGCTTATATGCCTTACTTGTACTAAGGATGGCATAGCTTCGACTGACATCTTTATTTGGAACCCTTCAATTAGAAGGTATATGGTCTTGCCTAGGCCTAATTTTATTGTATATCTGAAAAATGATGACATTGTTCGTCACTACTTTGTCTATGATTCTCACACCAACGACTATAAGGTTTTGAGACGTGTGAGTAATTATTCTAAACTAGTTGCGGTTGAGATTTACTCCTTAGTCAGGGGCTCCTGGAAAACCCTTACAGCGTCAGCTCCTGCATATTTTGGGTTTGGCATCACTGCTACATGGCCTTTCTCTTACTGGGTTGTTGTCAATGATGCGCTGCATTGGGTTCAACTCCATGAACAAAGAGGGAAGGACCTTGTCATTGTGTCCTTTGATATAAGCATTGAATTATTTGGGGAGATAATGATGCCTCAAGGTGTGAGAAAAATAGAATATCCATACGTGGACTGCAACATATGGATTTCAAAACATAAGGGGTCCGTTGCCTTGCTCGAGTGTAGCAATATGTTCAGGATCGGTAGTCAACCTCACTCGTGGGTCATGGAAGAGTATGGTGCAGTGGAATCCTGGACCAAATTGTATGAGCTGTTCCAGCGGTTAGGGCTTGGGGGGGGGGAGCCCAAAATTCGTTTCCAGCGGGCCTGTCTAGCCCAGCAGGCTGTGGGTCCCACGGGACCGGGCTAGCTTGAAGTCAAGGCGAGCCCGAGCTCCAGCCTGAGTTTTGGTTGATGTCATCGTTGACGCTAGGCTAGCGTCAGCCCGCGCTTTCAATTTTTTTTTTTACAATTGGCGCTGCCTTTTTGCCAACGGTTAGCAGCCACGTGGTGGCCTCTAGGCGTTCCGATAGATTTTTCTCCTCCAATCCAACGGTAACCAATTTTTTTGCAATAAAATTATGAAAAAAATTCGATTTTTTTATTATAGAAATTACCCAAAAATTAATGATTTTTTTTTCTTTCTATAAATACTAACTAATACTCTTCACTTTTAACACCAAATCCTCATACATTTTCTTCTCCTTCAACTATTATTCACTTTCTACTTAATATTTTATTCACTTTCAAATTTTATTTTTCTTTATCATCTTATGGCTTCTTCTATCGAAACCGGAGGGGCATTAAGTTAGTTTGATTGCCTTTTATTTCATTGTATTTTAATGTTTACTTTTAAAAATTAGTTGTAATTCATGTATTTTATTTAATTAGTAGTAATACTTAATTACTTGTATTGGTTTTCTTTGAGTGAATAAAGAAAGCATTCAATACAATACCTTTTTATTCAAAACATTCCATACATAAAAAACCACAACCGAAGTATAACTAAAAAATTAACCACAACCAAAGTATTTTAAAAATAAAAAAAAACCACAACCATTCACTGTCATTACCTTTCACCGCCCATAAATGCTTCATCAAGTCAACTTGATGTCGTTCATGAATATAATATATCGATCAATCATACGGGTCATGAAACGACTTTCCCTAACCAACGGTTCATGCTCCAATAGTTCTCCATTTGGCCCCATGAGTTTTTCATAAATTCTTGTCATGGTCGTGTTCATGGGATCTGGTTCGTACACGTCTGTAGTATTGTAATCATACGCATCCTCCATAATTATGAAATGGAGGATGATGCATGTCATCATTATGCTCCTCAGCATCTCCTCATCAAACAAATGCGCCACACCCCTAATAATAGCCCAGCGGGCTTGGATGATACCAAAACACCTCTCTAAGTCTTTTCTATGACCCTCTTGATAGACAACAAATAATTTTTGCTTCTCGGATCGGGGATGTAGAATTGATTTCACAAATGTGGTCCACCTCGAGTTGATGTCGTCTGCTAGATAATACCCATTCTGGTAGACGGTATTGTTGATTTCATAGGTGATATTCAGGGCTTCACCTCTTAAACATTCAAGTCGTTTTGAGATTCAACAACTCCGAAGAAGGCATGCTAAACCCATGTATCGAATCTAGCAACGGCTTCAAGGATGATATTTTTTTGCCCTTTCCTATTTCCATAATCTCCTTGCCAAGCAGTTGGACAATTCTTCCATTGCCAGTGCATGCAGTCGATGCTACCAATCATTCCTGGAAATCCTCGAGCTTCGGCTTTTTATAGAAGCCGTTAGAGGTCCCTGGGCGTAGGTCTGCACAGGTAGTCCTTGGTGTATAGAGTTTTGACTGCATCACAAAATCTTACCAAGCTCTCCAAAGTAGTGGACTTCCCCATCCGGGCAATCTTATCCACTTGATCAGCAGATGAACCATACGCCAACATTCGTATAACAGCTTCGGGAAGAAGTCCCAAAACCCCAGCAACATCACACTTTTGAACAAAGTATTCATCATAATTGCAAATGTCATGCATGACTTTATTGAACAAATGAGGTTGCATTCTATATTGCCTTCGAAAATCAACATCAAAGTACAGATAAGTTGGGATAAAATAATCTACCAGAAGATTCTTACCCCAAGAATGCCTATGTCTGTCCACATTCGGGTCACATCCGACTTGTGAACCACGGCGGCGGCCTTGGTTTTCTTCATGAAGCAAAGCCACTGCTATGACATCTTGTTGATCTAGTTCTCTCTACACGCTTTTGCCTTCAGCTCGTCTACACCTTCTTTCTTTAGTTTCTCGCTCTTGCGTCTCCAAGCATCTGCTCATGTCTGACATTGAGAATGGAGTATGAATTCTAAAATCTGAGAAATGAAAATATAGAGAAGATCTAGTGTGAGATATATGAGCTGAGCCTCTGAGTATTTTAAGTGGCATGACGGTTGCAAGAAGTAATTGTATATATTCTTTCTAAAACGAGCTAATAAAAATTTAACTTAAGTAATTTCATGGCTATTTATGAGGAAAACATTGAAACCAGTGCTACATTCGCTAATTTCTTATAAACTAGCCTCTCTGCACGCGCTCCCACGCAAGAGGCCATAGCGTGACTAAACATCGTCTGCAAAAGGGTTGAGGTTCTAATGTTAAGTTATAGTTAAACTACACATCAATTGCTTCCTTTTCAAGTACAAATTTAAATGAACAGAAAAGAACTGAAGAGAAAAATATGTCGCAGGCGATAGGACTTCATACGCTCCCAAACAACGTAAATGCAATTGAAATGAACCTTTTAACTACTTTGATTCTTTTCCTTTAGCTTCTCGGAAGCCAAATAGAGATTTGGATCAACATGTTCCTGCAGCATACTAAAATCGAAGGCGATAAAAAAAAAAAAAAATTAAAATCAAAGGCCTAAATAAAATTGAGAGACATTATAATCCTTAACATTAATTTGAAGAAATGAAGAACCACCATTCATATTCTAATTTTAGTTTTTAAAATTGTTTATTTTGCGTTTTTACGATAATACCCATGTGAGTTTATATGCCAGTTTCATGTGCCTTTTTACGATAATACCCATCGGACACAGAATCCCGATTTTGTCCCTGCATAAACCCCAATTATCGAAGCACCCTGTAAAACCCGCCCTAGAGCCTCAACGCGCCTGTTTTTACAACAGAAGAACGAAGCGAAGAAGAAAGTGAGTGAGAAAGAGAGAAGGAGAAGGAAATTCCAGAAGAAAGTCCACCATCGAGGCGTAAGAAGGGAGAAGATTCATTGGTAATTTGGTAATTTGGTTCCTCCCTTTTCCATCATCACTGCCCCGTCTGTTTGTATGCAACACCTTCCTTTTACTTTCCCAGAAAACAAATGGAAGAGATTCATTCGCATTTGTTATATCGATAAATTGTTGAATGGTTAGAAGTCAATTTATTCATAATAAATATTTTTTGATTAAATTTTGTGGTAATATTTTTCAGGTTTGTTGAAGTAAGTAAATGAGGAGCAAACTGGACTTTCCCATGGAGAATTGTGCACAGCATATGGACTTGAGGTGTGGATTGTATTGTTTTTTCATTTGCCTCTATGCTAGTTTCCTTCAACTACAAGACACCCATTTAAATGCTTGCCTAAGAACAGGGCCTTAGGTTAGTTTATGAGGTTGACAAACTAGAACAACAGAAATCTAGGGCTCAAGTTTTGTTTTTTTTCATGATCTTAATCTCAACTTTTATATAAGTAGGGCTATCGTGAATTAAAGCTTACAATTATATGCTACTTGTTAAAGAAATTTCTATCATGTAACTTGGAGTGAGCAATGGAAACTGAACTGGCTCAGCCACTTTTCCTAGGTATTTAGTTCTACAGCCATTAACTGAAATATGTACTGCATGGTTCATAATCTCTTGTTGTTTAAATTGGAAGGGCAAAAAACTCGTTTTCTGTCATTTTAAACCTTCATCCTCTTTCCGTGTTTTTTTTTTGGGGTTTAAGCTTGGGAGGTGGTGATAGCAACACCCTCATCTTGCCAGCAAAGAGAAGGAACAAAAGGAAGGGCACCAATCAGGTGCGTGCAGAAGTTAAATTACTAGTTGTTTTATTTTCTGCTGTATTCAAATTAAATATTCCCTGAATCTGATTATCCAGGATTGTGAAAAACTCAATCAAAGAAAAGCAACAATGATTAGCAAATCCCAGCAAAGGAAGCTGAAGAAGTTGGAGGTGTGTGACTGTATTGATAGGTGAAAAACTCAATGCATTTTTGTTTCATTGTTCTCTTAACTTAACTTGGAATTGTTTGCTTTTCATTTCTCAAGGAGGAGAAGGAAAAATCGCTTTCCATATCCAAAAGCATTGAGGCCTTAGAGTACGGCTATCATCCCTGCTCCCTCTTTTCTTGATAGGTGATTAATATTGTAGTTTGTTTCCTATCCAAGTGATGTTTGATGGCATATTTGTATTTACATTACCAGGAAATATAAGCTTCCAGATGGTGCACATTCTCTTTTGCAGTCATCAAAGAATATTGGCAAGGTTTGCATCCGCGAAAGTGTTTACCAATATTATCAAAATTTTGTCGCATATCTTTCTTCTTAACAGGGGATTTTTCTTTCTTTTTATTTATTTATTTATCTGTAGGTTGAGTCTAAAAAGGAAAAACGTAGGAAGGCTGTACTATTCTCCAAAGCTGGCTTTGGTGTTCCCCTTACCGACCAACCATTTAACAAGATAGATAGTGAAAGTGGCAGTGAACCTGAGTTAGAAAAAACTCAATCAAGGTCGGATCTTTGCAAGAATGATCAGGTGCAATCAAAGATAGTCCCAGCAGAAATCCAAAAGAACATATTTATTTCTTTGGACTCCTCTCAGGGTCTAGTCAGTGGCAGAGGACTTGGCGTGAATGGTGGAGCTGCAGCCGACTCATCATATAAAAATGCTATTGGCAACAAACATGACACTTCTTTGCGAGAAGACATAAACATTTTGCCCACTTCAAGTGTAAATGATGATAGTCAAAGCATGAAGATGGTATGTTTCGTCTTCATCATATTGAGAATTCCTCTAAGTATCTTGTCTTTTTATGTTACTATTTTTTGAACCTATTACATGAAATCCCATTATTGGTTGATACTTTTTAAAAAGGAAATTTTGTTGCTCTTATGGCATGTATTCTATACGTTGTGATACTCCCTCCTGCAGCCTGCCCTTCAATAGAGAAAAGAAAAACAGGAACAAGCAAATAATTTTAGATTCTAAATTTCAGAATGGTTTTATAATACTTGTAAGATGTGCAATCCAAGATCACATTTGGATTTTTGATAGGTATCAGGATAACT